CGTTGGAAAAGTACAGCGTGTTACAGGCATGTTTCCAAAACCTACCCTGCAGATGGGCAAAATGTAATCATTTCTAAAAACCTGGTTTTGGTGGGACTGATCTCTAGGGGATAATAATACTAAACAATACTAAACAGCTGGATTTTGCAAGCAAACCCTTTGAGAATGAAAATCCATGTGAAAAAGACTGTAAAAGAAGAGATTTATTTTTAAAACCTGCTTGTAATCATGGGCAGAAGTTCAAACCAAGTATTGCCCAGTATGTCTAGTTACAGACTTTTTCACTCCTCTACCTACAGTAAATACATTTATGAACACTTAGGGCTTTGTTTTGTAGTTGTTCAATCATCAATCTTTGGGGTGCTGGCTGGAAATTTCCTTATTTCCATGGCTCAGTGTAACTTAAAGCAGCTTTGGATTATCAATGGAAATATCCAATCACAATAACCAAGCAAATATTCAAAGTATTTGAAATTGCCCAGTAAGGAAATTTAAGTCGAAACAGATAAAACATACTGTAGTTACCCAAAAGGAAGATAATCATAGGACTGTGTGTGTGTGTGTGTGTGTGTGTGTGTCTCATGACAAAAGTCTTGTGTAATGCCCAACTTTCCCATCTTGTCTGTCTGAAGCCAATCATGGACATTTCCCCCTCCCGAAGAAATGTGTTCAGCTGTCACTTTTGTGTGTGCACGTATATATACTTACCAAAAGCTTAAATGGTTTTTAAACTTGTCCTTAAAAGGGCAAGACCAGAGGGAAAAAATAGTAACTACCAATGGTTATTAATGATTTATAAACACAATAAATATTTATTATATTATGTAAATGTGTAAAGTAATAACTACTGATTTGAATTAATTGTAAAATAAGGGGTCCCATATATCCCCATCCACATGCAACAGGAAGGGAAGATATGCTGTTTGTGCCTATGTACATGTGTATAACATGTCAGGTGAACATCTGTGTTGGGCTGAAGAAGGAAAGTTTGAGAAAAAACTATGTGAGTCTTTCCCTTTAGGAGTTGAATCTCTCCACAGTAAAGGGAAAGCTTCAAATTGTTGGGATTCCACAGCTCTGGCCACACTGCATATTCCAACTTTTCGGCTATGCAACTCTTTCTGTCATATACTGTGAATGGTTGGACATGGGATTTGATTGTGCCATGTGTCCAGTTATTTGCACTTCCTGTAGTTGTGTAAGTTTTGTGTATGTTTTGTAAATATAATGCGTATACTGAGAAGCTCTTTCTATTTGTGTGTCTTTGTATCTCCCCCGGTTTGGTTTCATGATGGTTCTTTTATCCCAACTGGGCT